CAACTGGATAGGTCAAGGAATCAGCACACACTTTGTGGACAACTAGTGATAGTCCATCCCGACCACTTGCTTTATTGGAGCTGAGCTGTAGTAGTTTATTGCGCACCGTGTTTCTGTCAATGGCTGGTAAAGAGGTAGTGGGCCGATCCAATCGTGAGGAAGAAGGGTGAGAGGTGGAGTTAGCATCGAAGCAACAGAGGTTTCGGTTCAGTTATTCCAGGACTACATATGAATTTGACACTAGGTTAGAGACTCCACTAAGTTGTTTTAGCATACGCCAGACATCCCGGCAGCTAATATTTCCCAGTATGGTCCGGACATTTTTAGGTGGTTTAGACGGCGCAACTCCGTTTTGATAGAAATAGCAAAATATTTCACCGCAGCGTGGTCTTTCGTTTTGAACGCTTTCTCTTTGAGTCTACGCAAGCGTTTTAGGTATGGAGATGAAAACCGACCCGCAGGGATGAAAATGATTGCAAGTAGACAGCAAGTATCAAAGCAGTAGTTGATGTAGCTCGTTAACTGGCCGCAGTAGTTAGATACGTAGTTATCAAAAATATGCTAAAACCTGTGAATGAAATAATTTCCTAGAGTCGATATATGTTCTCAGGTGAACATGGTCTTCTTACAAGCCTGCGAACTTTACAACGAGTAATATCCCTATGAGTTAGTTTGATGTATACGGTAGGAGATAACTTGATATTTGAATGCTCAGAACTACCAATCGGCGCCTGATTGCACACAAAACAGCTTTGCATTGTTTACAAATATAAGGACTATAGTAGCTTCAAGTCTGATGAGGGAGTCCACGATATTTTGCAGCTCAAGGTCTCTGCGAAAAGTGGTGTCAAATCTGTTGGTCACCATTAGAGATAAGTATCGATGAAGTCGATGACATTGGTAGTGAACTGATCGTAAAACTCCTCGACCTCAGAGGCTGGACAACTGGGGGCAATGTAGAGATTTGCAAGCAAAATCGGTTGGTAGCCACTTAAACATCTTGGTTTAGATTTCAAAATCAAATTGTTACTACGTGTAGTGAAAAAACGGAACCAACTTTTTGTTGGCGTGCACCACACAGGGTTGACATAAATCACGCCACCTCCACCGCGGCTCTTGTATGTAGTTAACCGGTCGACACGATGGCAAATGTACCTCGATCGTTACAACCTCATCGTCAACATCCTCATGGAGCCACATCACTTGAAGTATAATTACGCCAAGATTCGATTATTCACGACAGCGAATTTTGCCCATAAGTCATCGGACATTTGAGCTTATTATAACGGGTATACTCATACTACGTAATATCTTCTTCCGTACAGCAACCCCGCATTCAACACGACGTCTTTTAGTAGAATTATTGTACTTATTGTAGATTCGTTTCGATTTACTTTTTAGAGCTTGACCGTGAAAAACCGTGACGTTCAGTGGAGTAGAAACATAGAGATTTGAAAATATCGCGAGTATAGGTCATCATGGTCTTGAAGATTGTATGGATTGGGTAGAAAAAAAACATGCAAAAATTGCCGAAAGCGTGAGTATAGGTAATTTTGCAGATTGAACAAAAGAGCACGGCCAAGTTTGAAGGTCCAACCACGATTCATCTTATCTGAACAATCGCCATCTGTAGAACTTCATGACTAACGAGCTGTTCACCAAGCACTACTCGAAGTATGCAACGTATCGAACGAATAAGATCTTTACAAACACCGCCATGATAACTGCCATAAAGTGGGTTGAAGATTCGTTCGCATTAGGCAGGCCACCGTGGTAGCTGGTATGATTCAACTTCAAACTTTAATACATTATCACTGTAAACCCGTGGTATGACACACCACCGTGTAGTAAATCGCAAAGAAGCATGTATCCATTGCGCGGATTATTTTGATGAGTACTGCTCTAACGGTAGACAAGTACGCGCCCATAACGCTTTTCCGTTGTTCATTTTTGATTGACCGTCATTAGCCCAAACTAATCAATAACGACTGCTGTAAGCACCGGCTGGAATGCCAAAGATGATCCCCGATCAAGGAAGCTATCTGCTGTCCATAGGAATTAACACTCCCGATGATGCAGCGAGCGCTGTCTCCCAGAGTCTTGCGAGCTGTCGAGACACCGCGTACTATCCATTAATGTTGGTGTGTACATTTTTCTCGTGAGAATCCATAATAATGAAACGGGTTATAAACTATCCGGCCTGAAGTCCAACTGTGGGCTTGGCGGTTTGCTAACTCACCCATAGTATGTCGTTGTGCGGAAATAAACAGCCTCTTCTGCGGGCTTGCTGAACGTTTCAAGTGTCCGATGGGTTGGTTTGCTTGATATTTTTAAGCGCGTTAATCTCTTTTGCAAAGGAGGCTTGCTGCATACTCTGTACTATTTCAAGTTCGGCTTCTTGGAGCTCGTGTAACGTCAAACAACCTTTAAAATGAGCTACTCGGATGTCGACCGTACCTTTGCATCAAGAACGGCCGTCAGCTGCCCAAAAGTATTCTTCTGCTCTACGTAGAATTAGAGAGTTGAGACTGCGTTTGACAGCATTTGGTTTGCAAGAAGAGAATTTGGCGTCGCAGTGGCGCGTTACCTTGAATGAACAGTCTCAACAAGCCTTTAAGGGTGAGTCCGATGGCAATTTATTAAGCGCATACGTTGATAATCAACTTGCGAATGCTTCACCGCGTCTCCTCGTAGCTCGTGATAGCGCTCGGTTGGTAAGCAAAAGTTTGCTTTTAACAGCATGCAAGTGCTATGCGTACATAGGTACTGTGTAGTGGAAGTCGTAAGCTCTGAAGACCAGACACTGTCCTCTCTAAAGTTAGTCACTTGCATGCATGTGGAGAATAGGTTCCGCTACATCCAGGTTAGCTTGCTAGTTATGATGGTCTACCATTGTGCCCCGTGACTCAATAGCATATGCTGCTGGCTGGTAACGAAAGCTACTAGCTGGTATGGGTCCGGATCCTGATGGAGCCGGATGCACACCAGTGACGAGCCCCAGGAGGAGGAAACCGCCGTGCGGTGCTTTTCCGGATTGATGGTGAGACTATCTGGCTTGTGAGCTGTTGAGACGAATAAGTAAAACGTTTGTACTATGCAAGTCGAAGACGCAGGCTGTGAAGCCATTGATGGCATGTAATAATGCGCATCAGAATCAGCAGTTCTCCTGTCAGCACGAGTCCATACATCGACTAGGTCTTTGGACGTACAAATTATCAGAAACATCGATGAATCATGTCGCATATGGTTGTATAGAAAATCTGCTTGGACTGGGCAGTACACCAACTTTTAACAATACGGGCAGATGTTCGCACAGATCAGAGCGTGATCTGAGTTAAGTGGACCAAATCGATATCCAATCCAGTACAGTAACCCGCCGTGTGGACCTGATAGCAACGTGATCAATTTGTGACTACGCTTGCGTTGGCAAAGAAGGGCTCTAGGTGGCGCCGCATCTCCTCGAATGCTTAAAGCTCGTGCTCGAGAGAAAAAGGCGGTTATCCCCACAAAAACGTGAGGAGTATATCTCCCTTAATAAAGCGACTCTCATCAAGGGCATGACGGTCACAAAGATGACGCTGCATTGACAATAGGAGACCGACACGTGCATTAAAGTCTCCCGCAAGGACGACGACATTGGATTTTCAGCGTCACACAAAAGTTGGTGGAGTCCGCGATAAAAGTTGTCCTTAACCGATGCAAAACTGCAGTCAGTTGGAGCGTACATCATAAACAAATTGGGTCTCTCAGTACGATGTCTATTGATTCTGCATGAGGCTGGAAGTCGAACCGCACACAACCGAGAACCAATAGAGCAGTGAGGCCTCCGCTTGGCCACTTAATGCGATACCAACACCGGCAAAACTAGCTGCTTCTGTGTCACCACATAAATGCAGGAAATATTTGGTCCCTAGATTAGCATTGGAAGTCAAATTAAATACAGTGCAGGAGTCCCGTAATCGAGTCTCAGAATAGCAACAAACATCAATAGCGAGCAACTCCAGAGTGCGCGCTAGGCTAGCTTATTGTCCGATCTGCATAGGAAGTCGAACGTTGAAGCCTGGCAACCGAAATGAAAATCGAGGGAGAGCCACTGGTCGTACTCTTTGGACATGGGCGAGACTGACACAGAAAGTAGATTCAAATAAGTTATTGACAAAGGCAAGAGTGGCGTGTGATGGAGGTACACCGAGGTAGGGAGCTGCATTGGGGGACACCACCCCGAGCCTTTGGTTGAACAGCCCGCCAGCGGAGGGAATTCAGGGAATTGTGCACATTAGGAGCCGGTGACCGATTACACAGTTCATGCGTCTATCGTTTGGTCGGTTAGCAAAGAGGGACCCAATCTTCCCCACATTGGCAGCATCAGATTGATTGAATACAATTCACACAAGAATGAAGCAAGGGGCAGTGCATTTATTTAAGAGCGATTTTCGCCCGAAATCCGGAAACATTTCCCATCGACTGCTGAAGATATCTATATCGGCGACCTCTAGTCGGAGCAATTTTGACTCCCCTACATCTACCCTAGACTACAACTGTAGTTGTGCAATGATTTGTACCACAAGTAACCTTTGATGGTGAAAGTGATGTGCCAGTCAGTAAACTGAAGGTAACAAGCTTGTCTTGCAATCTGACGACGCGGGATCGGGCGACCCCTGCAGTATCCTTAGCCCCGCGCGTGACCGATGGTGATTGTGCGCCAGTGAAGCGTCGGTACTGCGTGCCGGCGTACTGCTGCTGATACCTTTTGTGAAAAAGATGTACCTAGGTATCCTTCTCTTGTACTTGATCTGCTATCTCTAGTGACACCATGAGTTATCGATTCGGCCGTTGAATTTGACATCTTAATCAGTATTCAGCCCAACTCGGTACGCTTACTATGTAAACGTAAACGTCAGAGGACCGTTCCAGAGAACAGATATTGACTTTGTGCTTACCTTTTACTATGATTCTACGGAATGTACCTGAAGATCTGATGGAAGATAAAAATGAACGCAGTGAGAGAAGATTTGAATAAGCGCTCCACCTATATCATAGTATACACCCATCAATATCATACATAAGTGTGCTGGTGACGTAGATATGATCCGTTCCGAAAATGTGGTTGCACAGTGCTACGAGAAATATACGATGTACTGCCTCATATAGCGGCGCGGATAAGCGAAAGCACGTACCTCCACCAGCCGGTAATTTAATCACAGAGTTTATTTCTGTCCACTAGACTGCTCACATTCTGCTAGTTGTCATGCATAAAACTTGCTCATGTCATCCCTGCTGTAAGGGAGGTGGTGCGTTGTAGATGAATATTCATCAGCCCCAGAGTGTAGAAAGTACATTTTTAAATCTTGACTTGACTTGGGGTGAAACGGAAATGAAAAAATATCACCCGAAGGGTTATTATTTGGTATAAAGCAGAGGCAGACTAATTAGGGAGTCGAAAAACAGAAAAGCTAGTAGGGGTTGCTTATTTCAGTTGAAAGGGATATATCGAAAAGTGGTGGCCTCCTAAGTCAAAGCGGTATCAGAAATTTTGCATCGAAAAGCCCGCAAACAAAACGGGACAGAAAATAGGTTGCAGAAGCTTCAAAAATAGAAATAAAAGGAGACGATCATGAAAGCTGGACTGGATGAAATGTGCACAGACAATAAAAAATAAACGAAAGACAGGTAAAATAATGTAAGCCAGCAGAGTAGGAAGTAACTGTTGGAGAAATGGTTTCCGGCAGAGTACCATCTGTAAACAGTGACGCGAAGGCATGGTGAAAGATGCCTAGTGAAGCGGAACTAGTACTTCCACATACGTTGTCGGAAAATGGCCCTCGTTACCCTTGAGCTCACCCAGGAACCAGTTATCATCCACCTGGGGAGAAAGAAATGGTTGGTATGACAAATCACAAGCAAAACAGGTTACGATAGTGATGGAGGAAATAGACTATGGGAAATATTTAAGACGAGCACTTAACTTGTGATTAAAAAAGTCCGTAGTGACTAAGAGGAACCGCAGAATACGGGTGATAGACGAAGAAGGAGATCCTGCTAAGTGAAAAAAGAGAGCAACTAGTTGAGATAAATTGGGCGATCCTGCTGAGCACAATGTGAGCTAGTGAATTGCTAAAGACCAGCTAAACTCAGTCTCCTGATTCTTTAGTTGGAGAATGAGGCCGAAGTCGTACACATTTACGAGACAACGGCCTAGTTGGTAGACCCCTACCGATCTCCAACTGCGCTGCGAATCTCGGGTGAAGACCCGAGGGTCTCTAACGTCGAGCATAAAATACACACAACCAATCGTCCCTAGTTGCAGCAAACAAATCAGACGGGATTCTCTTGAGGCAGAGAAAAATACGCACCAGCAGTGCGCACCGATGCTTCGCTGTCAAGTGACAATCACCAGTTGCACAAGGAATAGCAAACGCCTGCGCAAATTCGAACAGGTGATTATTGCATTAAAAATCAGACGCCATACACCAATCGTAGACTAGCCGGCCAAGATCCTTTTTGGTTGTGAGAAAAAGGATCAACACTGTATTCACCTTTCAATTCCTAAATAATCAAGGCGCGAAGGAATGCCCTTTTCACTTAATTACAACCCCTTGACATTCGTAATGAATGGAGATTTCTTCGATCACTCTTCGAACCGCCGTAGCAACATTCCCCCTCCTATGCAGATATGCATAGAAATAGAATGTATTAGAGGTGAAGAGCGGGGAAGCAGGTACTATTGCACAGTATCGCATGTCCTTTAACAGACTCCTTAACGCTGCCTCGGTATTCGAACTGATGAAGAAATGCACGAATGACCTGGCGAAGAACTAGCGAATCAAAAGCTTATCGGATTTTAATGAACATACTTGCGAACGCAATATATCCCGATTTGCACACATGACACTTCCAAGTCATTTAGTTCTTTTAGTGGAGAGATTCCGGGACACTACCAGAGACACCAGTGTCAAATGACTTTTACCTCTGGCAGAATAGAAATTATGTATACATTCAATATAGATTCATTCACCTTCCCCATTTGTCTGTGATTAATTTCCCTTCCCGAAGGCGGTAAAGCACATGCACACATTGCGTAATTAACCGATTGGTAACATGCCCTAGTTACCAAGACACAGTAGCACACATCCATAAAACACCAATCAGCTGACCTCTATGTGAGTTTAAGAGTCCCACTCGCAACGAAAAATGATAACGTTGCTGCTGCTTGAAGTTAATTTGAACTAAAGCTCCACATGACTTGGGGTCTAACACATTCGGCTAATGAGTTGTATGCCAATATGGTCTAAATGATTGGCTCAAAATTCAGTTACAACAAAAGAACGACACAGAGATCGTTAGCTTCAGCGGTAAACAAACGCTGAGCTTACTAACTACACGGAGTCGAAAGCAACAAAGTGAGGGACTTCAGCTGCACAAAGGAAGTATTTAACCCTGTTGTACTCATGTCGGAAGTGGAAAAACAGGATCCTGATTTCATATTTCGCAATGATTCCGATGCATAATGTATATCACAAATCGTGATCAATACGTATAACTGCTCAGGTCAACCGCCTAGAGGCGAATCGAGTGTATTAGTGCCGCCTGCCTGGGGTCATTGCCCATTGGATTGATAAGCATGGTTAGTGTGGACACTTGGCTGACGACAGAAGATGATGCACAGCTATGTGACACATCCGTCCGTACTGTCATCGGATGTCCACCGAATGATACCCTAACACGGCCTCCAATTAACCATACTAACATCGACATGGGTGGGTCCGGGTTGAAACAAAAACTAGAAACATCTATTGACTGCACTGCTGCTGCCGCTAACCGGTAGACTGGTTGCTGCTGATAAGTCGCACCTTTTAGGGTAGGGTCTACGTGATCCACTATGTAACTAGAACATGACAACACGTCATCTCTAGGCCGTATTGCCTATCTAAAGTGCGAAAGATGTTGAGCATCCTATTGGGTGATATTGCCTATAGGGCGGTGAGGTAAAAGCCGCGATGAAGCTGATCGATTTAACCAGTTTGCAATCGCACAGTATGCAACTGTTTTGAAGATGTGATGCCCTTAGGAAGTGGATGCCTAAACTTGGATTATTGCTTACTAAGCTCGTTCCTGCGTCAGGAACCGACTCAGTTCCCTTTTATTTATAATGAGTTTGTTTCTAAGAATCCATTAGTTATATGATAGCCAAACACCATTAATTGGCACTGGCGTACTTGTTGTCGTTGACGATGGTGGTGATGATGATGAGAAACGAGCTGTAAACATCACAAAGACTCACCTGTTCAATTAGCCTTATTATGTCACCTTCTCGGAAAGATAACTCGAACGGGTTTTCTGCTTCGAAATGGTACAAAGCTCTGCAGGTTGGCACCTGTGCAGAACCACCTAAAGCGAAGAATGCAAGAAAGAAACAGAATGCCGAGTCTTGAGAACATGATTCATGCGATGATGCATACAAGTGCGGTGGACTCGGATACATTTGGAAGAATGATCGATACAGTTACCAGGAAAAAGTGTTGTGATGCGATGATTGCACGATATTTAAGTCAAGTAATGCGATGAGGAAAGAACTGGCGAACGCATACGTTTCATACGGTCTCTTCAGCTAGAGGAACCAATATGGGAATGTTTATAGCTAAAGGAAGGTGACTAACTAGATAGGACAGCAGAAGCGGTGTACTCATTTACTCGGGGACCCGAAGTGGACAAGCAACCGACTGACTCTACTAGCGCACTCCTGACTTAGTGCAATGTACCAGTTACCACATAGCACGTATCCAACAGGTTCAGTCCCTACATTGCACACCCCAAAAACACGACATTGAAGAGATGCATCAAATGTATCTCTGATACTGTGGAGAAGATAGAACTGATACCAGTACATTTCTTATTGGTTCAATTTTTCTACCGACTCATAATCTGAGAGTTTGGGGAAAGTACAGAAAAACACCCGGATTAATTGTTTTGTTGACTGGCAACCTGCTCCAATTCCCGAAATACCGGATCTGGCCCCATCATGGATCAGCACACAGACCTCACAACATTCATCAAATGAATTGCGTATAAGTTCGACCGATTCCCGCCACAATGGATAGGGATGATGCTCGTCGTTCAAACTCACTCTGAATCTAGAACGTACTAGACCACTGGCCAAACACACTGGGCGTTGAATCCGGGCCTTACAGAACTGGTTTGATACCCAACAACGAGAACATAGCAACGAAGCAAATGCCTCCAAAAAGCAGCAACTGAATCAGTCAAGTATGAAAGTGAGGCGTAGAAATCCCGAAGGATGTCCAACCGTTTAGAACGATCGCGAAACTAGGATCAAGAAGGAATGTATTGTGACCTACTGGGACGTATAGAGACGTGAATACGGCTTCCATGCACTACTGGCCGCTGCCTAATTGATAACGCCCTCCTGAAGGGTAATGTACTCGTGCATTAGTTGTAAACAGATACACACACGTGCGCGCACACACACTTATTGCGAGTTCAATCAAGCGACAGCCCGGGTGAAGTATGCGGTGAGGCGAATGGGCGAGTTCCCAACGAGTCAATTTTATTACGGTGCCATCGTTCTTTCGTCGAGACGGTACAACGTACACGTGGTCTAGATATAAAATGGCACATGCCGTATGTAAGTAGCTTCTATATTTAGACACGTCGTCTTGTGCCAATACCCATGTTCGATGTCGAAGCTGCTGAGTAGCAACAATCTCAAATATCCTAACGGCGAGCGCATACGGACGCTGTTGTTTAGACGCAAACGGCGAAAACCACTGTGATGTAACTCAAAATGACCCACCATATAACAGGTGGCCGGGTCCATAGCGAGTTAGAATCTCATAAAGGGTACACTAAGGACCAAAAGGTAGTTGTTAGCCGCGGAACTAGTGAGATTGTTGCATGCGATCGTAAAGCGCGCGTGGCTCTCACAAGTTCCCATCTAGTGTGAAATTGTGATATCAACCAGTCAATCAAAGGCAGAGTGTGCAACGTGGAAACAGGGTCGGTTACACTGTGAAGATTCTTAAAGATGGGTATCTCGTACTGATGATAACAAGAGAGTAATCATATTTGATCACCCATGCTTGCAGATTACTGTTCACATCTGCTGGTAATAAGTGAAAAATTCGGAGATTCATCAAGCAACTGGTTTGCAAGATCCCCTTTGATGCCGTACTGGTGGCTGCTAAAGTTGAACCGTTGGCACTGGCTCGCTTATGGATTCCGTGTACCCGAGGACCGCTTTAGTTTAGCGATGTGTCACCAAAGTAGGAACAAAGTGACAATCAGGTACATGTCGTCTTCGATATGACCGAAGCCAGTGCTTGGAGACCTTGGATAATATGATGCAGTTGCGGATTCAGTGATGTTCCTGCGTTCGTTTTTACGCTCTGTTATTGATATTGCGTTCAGACTTAGTCTATTCTTTTTTCTCGCCTTGAAATCTGGTTCATTCTCCTCGCCATTTGCAGGTATAATTACTCTGATGACGCGAGATATTGCAACTGGACCCACCGTGCTTCGGCACCGGGATCATGCTTGTTTCATTGGATTGGACCTTGATGAGTCTAGTCGACAGAAGGATAACGGGTAAATTGTTCGACGATTGCAGAATTGTGAATGGTTTGAGGAATCACATAGTTTGAGAGTGAAAGCGCCTGTGTGTGAGTCAGGGAGACAAAAGCAAATAGTCACCCAAGGCCCAAACGCTGTGACAAATCGAATCATTCGCATCCTATTCATCGACGGACATATGTGATGGACGAATAACGACTCACAGTGAGTTAAGCCTGACTGCCAGAGTCCAAGTACTCTTTCATCACAGATTCCAGAAGAAAAACGCATGCTGGCAATCGTATCTCCGATGAAGACATAATTGGCGCATTAGTGTCGGAATTGTCTTTCTGTGCATTTTCGGCTTGCAGCCATTAACAGCCAGGAATAGTGGTAACAGTGCAACAAAGAATCTTCGACCAAACTTACACGCAAGCGAGCTTTCGCCATAGCCTATATATATATATATATATATATATATATATATATATATATTTGCAAAGGTCTACGAATAGACATAATGCCATCAGAAACCATGGGATTCAAACGAAGTACAGAAGTAGTAAAGGAAAACATAACACAACACAACAATGTCCATGGTTTCGTCAGAGGGCGAGATACTACCCGGTTGCCAAAGCCGAAGTAGAGTGTTGACTTAGGGGACACCATCCCGAGTCTTTGGCTGAATAGACTGTCCGCAAAGCAGTGGAGCGAATTCAGGGAATCGCGCCCATTGGGAACCGGTGACTGATTGCTCAGTTCATACGCCTTTCGTTTGTTCCTTTGTCAAACAGGGGCCCAATGCTCCCCGGAACTACAGCATAACGTTGCTGGAATACAATGTTTCGCCCGGATGAAGCAAGGGGCAGTGACTTTATTTAGTGGCGAGTCACGTCCGCCACGTCGCAGTTTTGTTAAAGGGACATATGTGGCTTTTTTATAGGGAGAACGCTTGCCAGGCGAAAACCCACCACGTCCTGGAACACTGCCGCCGAACCATCTGCTGGAACGGGAAAATCCCGAACCACCCAGCTGGCGTCACGAGGAGGTTGTTCTGCAAGCCATAGTTCATACCTGTGACTCGAGCATAAATGAAGTCTGAAGGTAGTAATACCTCGCTCAAGAAGATCTGTCGTGCTGGCGTCAGCTACCATGTTGCGCATAAAGCAGAATGGGATGCAGTTATGCGATGGGCGTATTGACAATGAGCAGACGCACCAAACCTTATCTTGCATTTCCAATAAGAGCCCTACTCAGGAACTGTAAACACATGGTAAGCAACGGGATTACCACTCCCTGATGGAACGGAATTGCGGTAAAAGCTTTTTCTATGCGCACAATTCAAGTGCAACGCGGACACCTGTGTGCAACATTTACAGGGCTGAAATCGCTCATTGCTAGAATTGCCAGATCAGGTAAGTACAATTGTGACATACTGAGATGTGATGACTCTCGTGCGCGACGAATTCCATACCCATAATCGACTCCATACTCAATGACATCTAATCAATACATATGTGTATTGCACAGCGCGGCAGACGCAACCAGCGAGAGACGAATCCATTTTAGATTCATTCCGAATGATAGGTATTCTCGTACATTCAAAGTCACATGGCACAAAGTTGCTATGTGATCACATAAACGTAAGGATCAATAAGATCAATGGAATGTTGGCAAGCGCATTCAATAAGCTGTCTTGAAGCAAGTAAGCAGGTGCGTAGTGAAAATGGTACAAGGACACCAATCGTGGGTGGTCCGTGTGTTGGGAGCGGAAAAATCTGAGAGAGGTAAACTAAGCCATATGTAACAAGCTGCTGACAGATTTTCAGGTTACGCTGGGATGGCCAATTACGACGTGGGCACCGAACCGAGTCGGCGGAATACATCACTATGATAATTACAGCAAATGACAGAGAGAGAGAAAGGTAAAACAAGATATAGCAAAAGAGATGAGGCAAACGAGAAATGAAGGAACAGGAATCAAACCAGTTTTGAAACGCAGAGGTGAAAAAGTAGGGATCAGTATAGTTAAAAAGTTAAATGGGTCCCCAGTCGCCACTACTCACACAGGCAACAACGAGATGTGACTGATGTGAAACGGAGAGGAGGGGAGAAATCTAAACATTAACCCACACGCGCTTATGATGTGGTGATCCAGTAGAGAGATTAGTGGTTGAGAATAAAAGACCAAACATTGAAATGTCGCATTTGCATATACAATACTGTGTGGAACAGGATTTTGGACCGGTGGATGTGGCAAGTAACAGCAGTACATGTACCAGAATTGTGTTCGGCTCAAACAGAAAAACAAATCACTCATGCAAATCACCCATTTTGAACAATGCAATCGAAACTTTAATCGCGAATTACAGTTCGACTAAAATGCCGACAAGAAAGCCAACGTTTCAAAGTTATGTAAATTGTAGTCGCGAGCAGGTGAAATGGTAGTCCACTGACGATTAGGTAACTCAAGAGACAGAAGTATGAAATGTCGGAATAATGTGGAACACAGTTGGTCAGGCCCTAAGTGAGATGCAGGATCACAAGTGGGTGTTTTTAACTGAAAAGGTGCTCATCAAATAAGGGGAAAGAACGATGGTAGGTCGTCGGTGTGCATGACACTGTGTAAGCAACGACAGAAAAGTCATTACAGGAACAGTACAAGTTCCCACTAGGCAGAGCGAACTTCGGCCGACTGAGCTACAGGGTGCGCAAGAGCAGTAACGAGGGCAAAACTGTAAGATATTGTTGGGAATAGCCGACAATCGGTACACGCCCGCCATTTCCTGTGCGCTCGAAGTTAGATCCGAAAAACTTTCCGAGTCTGCGGGTTTCGAGGAGCGCAGATAGCTTACTTGTGCAATTATGTCCCCTGGAAAAAGAACAATAGTTGAACCACCAGCACTGGATAGTGGCTTGCTAAGCTATGAGTAGAAGATAATTTCACAGCATTGGCAATATGACCTGTTGGAGTGTAGGCCGGTAACCCAAAGAGACAACATCCAACCCTGCAAATGCATCAACCTCAGCTGATGTTGTCAAAATAGATACGTACAGACAGTTGTTCATAAGAAACAAGTCAACCAACGAGAGTTCAGCAGGTCTGGGAATGATGCACAGTGCCATGAGGTAAGCAGCAAGCAAAGTGAGTCTTTTGAGCCCAAGCGATGGCAAATTCAGGATGGGGCTGAAGATTTTGATGAAATAACCCGAAAACGATCGCGACTCAACAGCGTGACCGTGATGCATCTGGCAATGATCCGGACGATGGGTCCTTTCCATGGAAATGTTCACACATCATTTCCAAGCCCCAAGTTAGAAGACCACGTGACAGAGTAAGTCTGACCTTTAGCCACTGACAAAACTGACGAGAGCAGCTTTCAAAACACTCGATGGCCTTACGCAGTGTGGACTAACAGAAGTAGGGGGCAAACGCACAGACGTATAAACCTAATGTTTACTGTGGCTGTGAATGCAGGTCAAAATAAGTAAGCAAACTTTGATCCGGGCGATTAACTGAATACGGGGAAGTGGGCAATAGGCATATAAGGGCTAAAGTAGGATTACAATCGAAGATAACGACCGCCTTGTACAAAACTGATAATGCCTTCTTTGGTGTGCCTCGTGTCATATCAAGAATATACAGATTTTACTTTGTATGTTATCTTTTTAGATACACTGGGGAGGTGGATTTAAGCAACTTTCGCAAATCAAGGCGAAGGATTCCATTTGGAGGTAGGACAACCTGTGGGCAGGTACTGATCAACATTGTGAGAGCCATGATATTAGGCTGCTATTATGCTGAGGGATTTGGTCACTCTCGTCAATAGGGCATGCATGAGCTCTGGACAGGCAGTTGTGGCGGTATGCTGATGTTCACAAAGTCAATAAGGATTGGAGTCTCTAAACCATGTACTCAAGAAATGAATGACTGTCGATGGATGTTATGTCTACGCAGGCCGAGGCAACCGTTAGTTCCAGTGTACATGGGAACGCCTAATCAGCCCCGTTTTTGAGTCGATACATGAGCCCGTTAATCGGAGAGCACGCGAGCTGTATGCATATAGCCGTGAATGACTCGGTGCCAGTAGTTGAAACAGAACACGCATATTTAAGTATATAATTGCATACCGGTTATTGTTAATGGTACTGAGGAGACAATACGAAATGCATGCATCTACCAGTTTTCGTCTTCTTACCGTCGTTTTTAAATTTCTGAAGGGAACTAACTGCTTTAAAGAACAAAAAGTGTCAACAATAGGTCGGTACATCGTGTTGACGATTCGCTACCATGCGACAAACGTCAATCGCGAGCAGGTCGCCCACACCTGCGGAGATTCCAACCGGTGACTTTTGGACTACAAGGTAGGCGCCTTACAACAACCGGCCACCGGCCGAACACTTCTACTAACTGGAATTCTGTTGAGCACAGACAACCGACGGGCAAAGTACTATTCCATGCAACTGAAACAATGGTTGGGCTGTTAAAGTGGACAGCGATGCCATATGGATGTGGTATGCGTCTATAGTAGCAGCAGCAGCAGAACCAGAGTTTGTTCAGGTCAACTTAAGTCATAGAAGGCTTTATACACATATATGGGTGCACTTTCAGCACTATTGATGATATCGTAAAACACGGTATTAATGAAGAAGCACAAATTGGCAATGAAAACGGAAAAATGGTGATTGCGTTCTCTATTTTAGTAAGGGACTGTCGAGTGAAGGATAGGTACGTTTCGTAAGTAAGCTAGATATTAGGCTTGTTAGCATGTTAAGTATCGCTTGTTTGTAAATCAAATTAGTGTCATCGGAAGATATCCGGGAGGATAGTATGTGGAACATACTTGCAGCAAAGAGAAACCAGTGAGAAACAGTCATCCATAACCAAGTGAAACATCATGTATTGCTTTTAGAGTAAATTCAAGACAATGGTATGTGAATGATGTTCATGTGACAATTCTAAGGGCTGAATCCAGTTGTTCAAGCCTGTCCGAGAGAGAGAGAGCGTTGATAATCCTTCCATTTATGCAACTCTTATCATCAACTAGATGCCGTCGTCCGTATTTAAGCAGAACTCCATGTGATATCCTCGGGAAACTCCACAGATAAGTCTGTGTGAAAATGAGGCAAGCTGAACCCATTTGTTTAGGCCTCAGGAGAACAGCATCCGTCCAAGGTAGTGAATAGCAAATGCAAGCGAAAAGTAAAGTGTAACATCAGCAGGACACTCCTCTATGTGTATCTGAACGTCTCAAGAGGGCATGTGTTGCTGCTGGATCAACTGATGCCAGGGTAGGGTCATTCGCGTGAGGATTGAGATTTCTGTGGAAATCTCGGGAAAACGGTCAAGGAACAAGAAGCAGCCAAACAGACAGACAAACATAAAGGTGAAATAAAATACGAAGTACTTGCAACTGTGTCTTAATTACTGACCCGCTAGATACGGAGTGAACCTGTTGGTTATATATGTGAGATTCATGTGTTCTTATGTTGTGGTCCGGGATAAAAAAGAATTTACAGATAATTGGTGAAGAACTGGATACTTGTGGAGGCAAAATGAATAGACCGGCTGATCGCCATAGGTTGGAGCCTTTACGTTTCAGTAATCTGAAAGTAACATGGACGCTAAAGAGACTCCAGGCGCAATCTATCGGCCGCTATAAATCCAAATTCAACCCAGATTAGGGAATGAGGCAAGAGGGATAAATCAGCCAAATACACGTCTATTGTAAAAAGGTAAAGTCCCGCTAACCGACAGGCACTGCAAAAGGTCCTAGTTGGAGGAGAGAAAAGTGGTTCTGTTTGAAAAATCCTACATTCATCATCATCATCATAATTGTCATTCACGTTAGCTAGAGGTGGGGAACACCTCAGCTACTGTGCCGCAATACACAGAAAAAAGGAGAGAAAAAAGAATGCAACTGGTGCAAGCCGGCTGAGCTACCAGTAACGGATGGGCATCGTTCCGGTAAGCTACCAGCCGGCTACTGATCATCAAAAAATTAATATGCAAAATTATATAAGGCTAAATAATGAGATGGTGGTTGGAGGAGGAGGTTAAGAGGGATGGGCTGGGACAAAGGGATAAAGGGTGATTAGGACTAACACATCTGTCGAACCTAGTTCCTTACGACTCAGTAAACTGGGAAAGTCAGAAACAAGGAGACGGGTCAGACAAGACTAGAACCGAGCGGCGCATTGAGAGTAAGCGGTCCAAATGAGGTGGGAAAGAATGTGGAGAAAGACGTAGTTAGATAATTTAGGTTTGAGATCAAATATCCGATATTGATAAAGGTGGAATATGACCAGCAACCTATGGTGCAAAAATAACTAGTGTGATGAGTATGACGACCCTATATCGTTTAAGTTTCACTAGTCGCGGAGCAATCAGAAAACAGATAAGACTAGGTAGGAAGTTTGAGAGTAAGTTGGAGTGGGAATACCGACAGAGAGTGCAATCAGGAAAGATAAGTTCGGGATGACAGAGGGCATATTAATAGATGGTCAATAAGACCACCAAGGCTTTCGAGGTAAAGGGAACAGAGCGGTGGGTCTACCGAACCTAGATGGGTAACCTCTCAGTAGTCTGGGAGAAGTCAGAGAGCAGACCGGTCAGACGAGACTAGGTCCGTGCGTTGCATTAACAGCAACCCGTCAAATTTAAGAATGGATGCAAACATACAGCGCAAGCAGGAAAGGATAGGTTCATAATGAAGCCTATATTGAGAAGACGTGAGTAAGAAGGGCAATGCTCTCGAGGTAAGGTGGGTAGAGCGATGGGTCTAACAAATCTACATGGTTTGTTTGTCATTAGTCAAGGATAGTCCTCGTTTT